AAAAACAATTATAACAATATCTAGCACACGGTAAGATATCTGTTCATTATTATCTTTAAATGTGTTATTTATTATTTAGAATTATTTTGCAGAGGAAGTAGGAAAATTGAAGTGCTATTGATGTTTGGATAACAAATATTTTATTAAAACTCTAGAAATGATTAGAATGCTGTTTATATTTAAGCAGATAGGAAGAAAATTATTTTTTAATTTCATATTTGTTTTGTTTTAATAGGTATCAGCAGATGTTGCATACAAACTTGGTATACCTTGCAACAATAGCAGATTCTAATCAAAATATGCAGTCTCTTTTACCAGCAGTAAGTACTTTTAAAGTAGTGTGAAGTGGAAAATCTTTTTAGTTATGTGTGGGGTGTAACACGTTTTTGTTTGGTGATTTTTGAGTTTTGTTGAGTAAATCCTGCTTTAATCTGAAAACATGAAAGTATTCTATATTATTTAAATGCTTTATTGTTTTGCTTTTATATTTAATTTGGGCTAATTCACCTAGAATTGACTCCCTCCTTGAGGATGTTATGTATATTCATTTACCCATCCACCCGCCTAGCTACCTATTTATTTATTTTAATTTTTAATTGTTAATAAATCAGGAGAATTTCATAGCAAATCTCAGACATCATGTGATGTCCCCAGGAAATACTTCAATATGCCTCTCTAGCAGATAGGACTATTATCCCACCCCCCAAAATTACCATAATTTCTTAATGTCTTATTATACCCAGTCTGTTTTCAATTTTTACCAGTTATCTAAGAAAAACCTCAATGTTTTAATGATTGATTATTTGCTTCAGAATCCAAACAAGGTCCACATATCTCATTGATTGATATGTCTTATCTTTTTAGTCCATATCAGTTTATCCTTTTTATTCTCCATTTATTTGTTGAAGAAACTGGGTCGTGTGTTGTGTAGAATTTTTCACATTCTGGATTTTGCTGATTGTAACCTCATGGTCCTTTAACATGTTCCTCTATCTCTTTTATTTCATGTGAATTGACAATTAGGCTTCATTAGAACTGGATTTAGTTTTTTTGCCAAGAGTAATTCTTGATGCTACTGTGTATTTCTTGTTGTATTACATCAAGAGGAACATGTTTGGTTGTTCCACATTTACTTAAGACTAAGATTGATCAGTCACTATAGTTGATACCAGCCTGACCAATCCATTATAAAGTTCCCTATCTACCTTTCACTTAATGGTTTTAGTAGTCATTGAGGCTTATTGACCAGATCCTTTATTTCATTTTGGGAATCCCAGAATGGTGAATTTCTAATGTTATAATTCTCCTTGCATTTATTAGCTGTAATTCTTTTAAAAAGAAAAACATCAAATATTTGCTTATCCTGGGCTGGCCCGGTGGTGCATTGGAGAGTGCGC